ACGACAAACCCGCCAGCCAAAAGAGATCTGAACCCGGGTTCACGACAGCACTTCTACAGAATGCTTCAGAAACGCTTCAGCTTTATGAGCCCTCTGGAAAGAAATGGCATTTGAAAAGAAATCTTTAAATATATTTAGAAAATGTGAGATCTGAAATGGGGCGATAGGCTGCAGTGAAAATACCAAATCACTTTAATTACGCTATTTAAAGTTATTCAATTATTCATTCTTCTTTAAAGAAAAGTTTTTAAATCAAGACCTCTAAGTACTTTCACGTTTGTTTGAAAAAGCAAAATCATTATCATCGTGATTGCTGCTTTCACCTCTTCATTATTATTCTCCCTTTAGTTTTTCTTCCTCTCACAAGCGCGGCAGGCAGCCATATCTTTAATACTGAGGGCAGGAACTCAATAACTGGCAACAGGAAGCCAATGATCTCTTTATCGCTTCCTAGCGAGGGCACAATGCCGCAGTCAAGCCTGTGACCTCTGACCTGTGAGCGTGTGTCTGAGAAACGTGTTCAAACTGCCATGAACACGAAAATTACTGAAAAATCAGGCTGCTTTCAAACTAACCAGCACTTAAACCTGAAAACATTTTACACAAACTCACCGAGAGACAGGTCTGAAACTAAGAAAGAAATCTAAGAAAGTATGTGAACACAAACACTCTGCATGTCTACATACTTGCGTAGAGTACATTTCAGGCCAAAATTTCCATCTGGCCGGTAACTGAGTGCCAGAGTTTTTGTAAGACCCAAAATATGCACTCCAGGTCAGCAGAGATATTTTCTGTCGAATCTAGTGTTCCAACTATAGAAGATGACCGAGAAAGCAGGCCCAAAACAGAAAAAAATAAGAGTAAAAGAGTGTTTTAGTGGACTAATACGTCTATGCAAACAGATTTATTTTCACTACACAAGTTGCAATGCATTCTGGGATTACAAGAGGATTCAGGAAGCGCTGCCTTAGAATTCACACTCACTTGTCACTAATAGCCACACCTTGTGACGAATAAGTGCAGGAATCGGCTGCTCAGAAGATCCTTGTTACCACCTGACAGCAAAAACGTTTCTTGAGTTGTTCCTATACGTTAATATTCATGTAGCGGTGATTATAGAGTGGTAAAACATTTAAAATTATTTTGTAATAAGTGATTAAATCAGGAATGAACTTTTTTATTTAAGTGATAATGAATGATAATGTCAATTTATTCATACTGATTGCATACATTTTCATTTTTAAGTATATATGTGACACTTCTACAATTTGTATTATTAAATTTATAAAATAATGATAAAATATGATAATTATGATAGAAATGATGATGATGAGTACTATCATTATCATTATATTTTATTTGATATATTCTTGTTTAAAACCTTAAGACGGCATCATGTGCAATTTTTAATTGTACTTTTTGTCACACACATAAAACTGTATCGTTAAGATGGGGGATTTTTTATTTAACAGAAGAAGAAAAAACAAATGAACAAAAGGCTCTCTCCAGGTATCATTGGTTTAAGTCCAATACAAATCTATTACAAGTATATGTCATGAAATGCATTCTTTATTTTTTGTTTCCTGAATTGCATTAAATTGTTGTTATATTACCTTAAAATAAAGAAAATGTAGTTTACATAGCATCAGAATAATAAAAGTGGTAGCCTGTTCAATATGCCTACATGGATTTATAATCTAAATGTCAATATCCAATACAATATAATGTATGCTGGTCGAGGTTGAGTGATGCTCTCTCCTGTAATTTCTCATAGCATTGCATATAGATTTATATGCTGGTTGGTATATGATTACATATTTCGGTTGAGGTTGAGCTGTGCTCTCTCCCTATTTTGCTCACAGCATTATATACAGTATATTTATATATGCTGGTTGATGATATGATTATATGTACTGGTTGAGGTTGAGCATGGCTCTCTCCCATGTCACTTTCACAGATTGAGGTTGAGTGTTGCTCTCTCTGTTTTTGTTATTACTCTTGCAGCCGTTATGCTGCTTGAGGATGAAGCCGAATTTGGCACTCACGTTTTCCCTCTTATTCCCATCCCTGCAGTATTATTTTCCAGGCTGAGGTGGTATGTTATGGAGATATTCTTTACAGAGAGATTCCAAACAGAATATTCATTTAGTTTCCTCCCACCGCCTCACTCAGGCCACATTCTTGCTGTTGGGGAAGGTAGAGGTAGTAGTGATGCGCCTTTCAAGCAATTGGGATTATAGGCAGCTTGTGCCTGCTTTCCCTTTTTTTGGCATCCACCTAGTGGTGATGCTTGTAGATGCTGGTGTGATCCCTCTGCTGGGATGTATCCTACCCATATAGCTACGGAGGCTGTTACATCTGGTGACTCACAAGGCAATTTTAAATCATGGGAATGGGTGTTTGCCAATATTGCGCCCCATTCGTTTGAGGCCTTTTCCTTGTGAGGGTCTTGGAGGGTAACCTCCACCACATAAAGCCTGGCTCACACTACAGGATATTTAGCCCGATTTAGCCCTGATTTCCCCTTCCCAAGAATCAGAGAACAAATCTTGGCGAGCACCTCGATCGGTCCCGATGTTCGGCGTGAATTATCTGGTAATGTTAGGCATTCACCGATCGAATCTTACCACCCCAAATAATATCAAACATGTTTGATATTTAGGATTTAAATCGGGATGATGACGGCTATATGATTACATCAGTACTTTCACAGCCAATGCACGACCGCAAAACAGCTGCTGTACGGCTCCGTTGGATAGTGGTTGTAGTTTTGTAGTAACACAACTGTCTGTATAATGTGTAAAAACGTATAACAACCATAAGGAGAAAGAGAAGCACTGGAGTGAAATCACCTCAGTTTTGAACATACCGTGTGAGTGCAGAAAGCTGCTAGCATGCTAGCTAACATGTGTAAACATCACTGAAATATCAGTGACGATCTGCTGCATGAGAACACGTGAGGCGCTCCCTCTGGCATGATAATCTTAATAATATCTTGTAGTGTGTGATGCTCCACGATTTTCAAATCTTGTAGTGTGTGCATGTTTAAGATTTGAGGGTTCCTTATGTGTGCGCTGCAACCAGATTTCATAATCGGTTAGGATTTTAAACTCCTGTAGTGTGAGCCCGGCTTAAGGTATATGCGTTCACTTTCATTAGGTTTACCCTTGGAGCTGGTACCAGAGGTTGAGAGGTGGGATAATAGGTTGGGATAACAAAGTTGGCTCCCCCTTTTCCAGGGCGTAACAGTTATGGTACACCTGGATGACTTCAAACCTCAGGGTTGGCAATCTGGGGTTAAGATGCTGATGTCAAGCCTTGGGCCTATAGCTCCTAATCACTAGGTGCACAGTATGGCATTTTTTTTATCACGGCCAGTCTCATTTGTTCAACTTATACAACACAGTGGGTAGGCATTTGTTCAGTATGAAGCAGTGGGTATTCACAGTCCCATAGCATCATCATCGACGCAGCGTAGAAGTTCCACTTTGACGGTAAACGTCTCGATTACGCATGTAACCTCGGTTCCCCGAGAAGTAGAACAAGACGCAGCGTCATGTTGCCGTACTTCAGGCACGTCTGCACGACTTCCTTCAGACAATTATAATCTGGGGGTTCCATGATGTAGATGCCCTTTTATGGCATTGCCAGCACATCATATTCTGTCATGCGACTACTGTCAGACAATTTTATTGGTATGTTTGCACACATGCTTCAAACACTGGCCCATGCTAAAGGTGCATGACAGGGATGCACAATATTGGATTTTTTCTGATATCTGATATGCCGATAACCGATACCGATATATTTCCATTTGTTTGGAAACAACACCAGGTCTCTCCTGTAGAGATTATAAGCAAATTATTTTTTAGTTTTGGTTAGCTTTATCAAAAACTTACTTGTTAGAATTAAATAAACATTTAATGTTATTATAAGTTTTATAATGAGAGTACACTGAAAGCTAAAAACTCTCAGACAAATGCAGTGGTATTCTATTTGAAGATTTAACAGTTATGTATAGCAAGTGGGATATCTGCTTCCTCTCACCAGGGAGGGGAAGAAGGGAAGGGTGAGATAAAGAATTTTGTAGATGGTCTAATGCAAAAGAGTTGTAAAAATTCAGAAAATATTTTAGAACTCCTTGTATTTCACTTTCGTAACCCATTTGAAAAAAATTATAATAATTAAAAACGTAAAACAAAATTCATATCGGGCCATTGTCTGTGTTTATATAAGCTGATATCATTCCGAAATATCATGCATCCCTACTTAAAAGTACACAATGACATTGTAAACGTAATCTATATGAATTGAGTGGTTTATAGGGCACATCAAATATGGTCAATGGAAGATTAACCATACTTAGTTAAAGCAAGCATGTCTGTTTGCCATGTTTGACGCAGCCTATGCATGTGCATTGATCAATGTTTATTTGTGAATAAAAACCTAAATTAAATTATATAAAGCTATTTGGATTTAGATTACTTTTACAATCTCTTTATGAACTTTTTAAACTTGGAAGCTTTGGTGGAATGGACTTTCATCGGAGGGAAAGAAATATTTAGCTATTCCTTTAAGGCTAAATAAAACAGTAAGGATGACACATGCAGCACGGGATGGGTATATTTTAGAAAATACACTGTTTATGGTATTCATTGGTGGCCAAAATGATTAGAACACTAGTATTTTCACAAGCTAAAAAATGGTTTTAAGTCAGTTATTTATATCTTTTGCTGTAGTGTGTCAGTAGGAAATATCGGTTTACATTTCCAAAAATTAATTTTTGCCATTAATTGGCACAAGGAGTCTGACAACAGCCAGTGCTCCACACAGAGATCTGATCATCATCCAGTCTGTCTGGAATGACGTGAAGAAACAGAACAAACTGAGACAGACTAAATTGTGGCAACATCTCTAAGATTTGCATGAATTTCCTTAATTATAACAACCCTGAGTGAGGAATGTGGTTTGTATTGTGAAATCAGAGCAGCATGACTTACGGTGTAAGCTGAGGGAGATGTTGATGGTTCTCTCATCTGTGAAGCTCTTGAGGCCTGTTATCTTAGCACACTTCAGTCGTGTGCCCGCGGGGGAGTCGCCCACATTAATCCAGCACACTGTTTCCTGCGCGTACAGGAAGTCCATGGCTGTGGTCTGTTTTGTGCTTATGTAGAGTGATGGGCTGCTGGAGCCACTCAGAGACGTGATCTGGATGTTCTGAGAGTTCGCGATCAGCAAGACAGGGAGACGATCCACAGGCACTACAGCAAGAGAAAGACATCTGGTTCATCGCAAATATAATAACAGTTCAGCCAATAGTAATGAATTAAAGTGTTGGCTGGTGCGGATACATATATGTGAGGGAAACAGAAATGGAGAAGCTTTATTTTATCTTATCTTGGCCTGTTATGTTTGTCTTACCGTTCTTGGCCTTGCAGGAGCGGTTGTCTGGTTGAACGAGATAACCTTCCACACAGGAGCAGGTGTACGAGCCGTCTGTGTTTGTGCACGTCTGACTGCAGGTGCCATACACCGTACACTCATCAAAATCTGAACCCACACAGACACAATAAAAGATTAACATATATATATATACAGTGGTGTGAAAAAGTGTTGGCTCCCTTCCTGATTTCTTATTTTTTTGCATGTTTGTCACACTTTAATGTTTCAGATCATCAAACAAATTTAAATATTAGTAAAAGATAACAAGTGAACAAACAAACATGTTTTTAAATGAAGGTTTTTATTATTAAGGGGAAACAAAATCCAAAACTACATGGCCCTGTGTGAAAAAGTGTTTGTCCCCTAAACCTAATAACTGGTTGGGCCACCCTTAGCAGCAACAACTGCAATCAAGCGTTTGCGGTAACAGAGCCTTTATGTTCTTTTTGCGCAGCAGCGGTTTTTGTCTTGGATCTCTGCCATGCAGACCATTTTTGCCCCGTCTCTTTCTTATGGTGGAGTCATGAACACTGGACTTAACTGAGGCAAGTGAGGCCTGCAGTTCTTTGGATGTTGTTGTGGGGTCTTTTGTGACCTCTTGGATGAGTCGTCGCTGTGCTCTTGGGGTAATTTTGGTCGGCCGGCCACTCCTGGGAAGGTTCTCCACTGTTCCATGTTTTTGCCATTTGTGAATAATGGCTCTCACTGTGGTTCGCTGGAGTCCCACAGCTTTAGAAATGGCTTTATAACCTTTTCCAGACTGATAGATCTCAATTACTTTCTTTCTCATTTGTTTCTGAATTTCTTTGGATCTCGGCATGATGTCTAGCTTTTGAGGATCTTTTGGTCTACTTCACTTTGTCAGGCAGGTCCTATTTAAGAGATTTCTTGATTGCGAACAGGTGTGGCAGTAATCAGGCCTGGGTGTGGCTAGAGAAATTGAACTCAGGTGTGATAAACCACAGTTTTAACAGGGGGGCAAACACTTCTTCACACAGGGCCGTGTAGTTTTGGATTTTGTTTTCCCTTAATAATAAAAACCTTCATTTAAAAACGGCATGTTGTGTTTACTTGTGTTATCTTTGACTAATATTTAAATTAGTTTGATGATCTGAAACATTAAAGTGTGACAAACATGCAAAAAAATAAGAAATCAGGAAAGGGGCCAACACTTTTTCACACCACTGTATATATATATATGTTTTGCCTTGTTTTCTAATGAAATATTTAAGCACCCTTAAAAACTACTTTCAGAGAAGCAAAACAATGTTAGTATATCAAGATAAAGAGATCTGTCTTAGATATCTTAGCTAACACTCCCAAAAGAGATTTTATGAAGACTGCAGAGTTAAAAAAGGAGTCTAAAAGCAAATGAAATATAGCAAATGAAAGCATTTGATATAGGAAATCTCATATGTTTTTACTCAGTGTAGTAACAGAACCATATACTAGATTTACAATGCAAGTAGTATAAGAAAAAAATTGCTAATGGGCTAAAAAAGTGTCTTATTTTCTAACAGTTTTGTCTCTACAATAAAACTTGTTTTAGGGATATGTGAACTTTTTACTGGAAAATAAGGAAAAAATGCTGTAGAAGTATTGTTCATCATTAGTTCACGTCAACTAATTCAGTTAATCATTGTTAACAAATGAAACCAGGGTGGCATGACATAAGCATCAAGTAATTTGCTTATGTTAGCTCATATTAAGCAATAAAATAATTGTACATTTATGTAATTATTTGTTAAGTATCATTGTAATATGCATAATAATGTATAATCAGTCATAATATTTTGTGACAATGACCAGCTGACTGTACTTTCTCCTTACAAGATACCTGATTTAAAATTATGCTGTTGTTCATCTTTTTAAGTATTCATATTGATTATACAATCAAAATAATCCTCTATCTCTCTCCGCTGTAAGTCTATATTGTTGCATTCATAGGAGTCTATACTCATGAAAGTGTGTGTAAATGCAACCGACCTTTACAGGTCTTTCCGTCTTGGCTGATCTCGTAGCCGCTCTTGCAGTAGCACATGGCGCCGGTGCGTGTGACAGCACAGTTGTCCTGGCAACCAGTGAGAGTACAGTTGAGGGCCAGTTCTACAGAGATCAGAGCAGAGGACGGCTAGAGGTCAAACAACACAACAATCCATTACCAAGCAGACTGACTCACACTGACCATCAACACTCACTACAGAGACTTCATGAAGACCGCAAAGTTCAAAACAACAACAAAAAATATATCACATGCGTTTTTAAAAAGCAAATGACACATATCACATAAAAGAATATGATATACAAAATCTCATAAGTTTTGTTTTTACTTAATGTAATAACAGAATTGCATCACATACTAAATGACAATGCTAGACTAAAGGCACTGGAATCAAGCTAACATCTAATATACAGTAATTCACCAAAGTGCACTCTTGTATTTCATTTTATATGTTTTGCTTTATCAGCCACATTTTTTCCCCATTTTAAATATGCAAAACATCTAACTACAGTATACATACAATTTATAAAGACTTCTTTAGGTATTTTGAAAAATAAAAATCTATCTGTTCTTGGTCAAGTGAACTTGGATGTCTTTTTGACTAAAGATGTCTTAGAATTAACCAGGCTGTACCTACTGTACCTTTAAGACTTCTATACTGAATAAATATGCCATTGTAGTTAATCAGCATGGTAAGAAAAAAAATCCGTAGAAAAACAGAAACGGTACTGGTAATTTTCTACCAGGACATTATCCATTAGGTTTACAGACATTTCTTTTTACCCCAAAACACAACACAATGCAACGCATAATTCAGGTAAAACATGTAAAAATCAATACATATCATCATATTAACATGGTACATTAGGCCCTATTTTTTTTACAGACTTTTCTTAAACAAAGATAAGATAGAGCTGCTAAACACTAAATGGGTGTTGTAAATGTGGGCTAAATAAGCCCATGGTTTTAACAAATGGTCTGGCTGAACTAGAATTTTTGGCTTTGAATGTTGAGGATGAGTATGCCTGCACAAAACTTTGAAGTATTTTATGTAAACACAGTAAGAAAAATCCTGTTTTCCACGAAATGGCATCTTTGACCGATTTGACAAACCACAGAGTGACTGAAATGAAATAACAGCACCTGGTGCATCAGCAGGCAGTGAACAGGAGTGATGTTAAACACACACACACACACACACACACACATACACGCACCTGTCCCAGAGCTCAGGGGACGCCGCAATCATAAGCATTCAGTCAGAAACAAATGAGCCTCTAGATGAACTGCAGCAGCTCGCAGCTAATATACTAACAGCTCATTATGTAGACAGCTTAGTGGATTTGTCAGTGCGATCATATGCTCTGTCCAAAAACAGTGAGCTCTGTCTATGTATGAAGCATTTTAAGGCATCAAAAGCCCACTTCTGACATGAACACTGTTCCAAAATTTCCAAACATATCCTTTATATGCTAATGGTAGACTCTGTGGAAACTGACAGCAAATCAAGCTCTATATTTGTGTGGCACATGGAGCTGCTGCCTACCAACAGGGTTCCAAATCAGTCACTTTTGAGGTTCTGTTTCAGTTGGGATGCTGCCTTAAAAGACAACTGCCTGTGTTGGTAGGCAATGAGGTAGCTCACTAGGTTTTGGGACAGTGCTAACAACACACACATTCTGTGTCGATATACAATCACAGCATAAAGAATGTGAGTGTGTGTTTTGATTTTTGTGTAGGTATGTGTGTGGATGAGTGCAAGCATGCAATGTTGAGCATGTTAAGTAAGTTCTAATCCTTAAGAGGATTGAGTGGAAATTTGACAGGGATTTTGCCTTAACTTCACATTTCACCACACTATGGTAACACACAAGTACTCTGATGGGTTAAAACACTTTTCACAACGGTTACATCCCAAAATGAAGTGAAATAGTTCTGTGTTTCACCTTTCTCAAAATGACAACACAACATTTGTGTACAATAAACATCCATATACAGTGGGGCAAAAAAGTATTTAGTCAGCCACCAATTGTGCAAGTTCTCCCACTTAAAAAGATGAGAGAGGCCTGTAATTTTCATCATAGGTATACCTCAACTATGAGAGACAAAATGAGAAAAGAAAATTTTTTAAAGAATTATTTGTTTGTCATTCAGTTCTTTATATACCCACCAAATATCCACCAAAATCAAAAATGGTCCTCATGCTCAAACCGTAGAGCATAGCACTAATGCCAAGAACAGAATTTCGATTTCCAGGTGATGTGAATATTTTCAAAACTGTTTCACATTTAGCTTTGATTAAAAGTGTTGGTCAAATGCATAAACGTTAAATGAAAAAAAAAACCTTGTTGGTCACGCTAAATGTTTTTTCCACATTACGTACAAATACAGTGTTCTGGCATGAAACTCTAGAAAGCGCAGTCCGATAGCTCTAACTCAGTCTGACCTAATGACATCATTATCAAATGGCACAGCTGATTGGTTCTCTCCTGTATTGGTAGCCAATGAGCTCACTGCTCAACATTCAAATATATGACTAGTGCTTGCCATAGCAGTTGCAGCTTGCTTCAGAAGCCCTCCACCTTCCCCAGCTCCACCTGTATAGATCTGCTACGAGGTGATTCATGTATGCTATATGGGGTTATTCCATGTATGTTATATTTGCAGCAGCAGTATTTCTTACATGCTCACAGCAGCATGTTGTGGATGTATTGGCAGTAGCAAGTCTCGGTACTTGCTCTGCTGCAGCAGCAGCACAGCAGATCTATTCTGCCAAGACCCAATACATTAACATTGTCATGTACATTACCATAGTGTTGTCATGACAGAACTACAGTTTACAAAGCTACTCATAATGTAGAAACAATATGAAATTATATTAGCAATCCATTTTATTAGGTCATGAAAATTGGCCATCACATACTAGAGTTTGCAATTGTGCAGGACTTTAAAGACATAAGTGCATACTGAGAAATGCAACATTGTTGTCATTCTAAATTATCTATTAATATTAATACTTATTCACACAGAAGGTGATTACTGAGATGTGTGTGTGCATTACAATACAATACAACAATACAAATTTTTATTTCTATAGCACATTTAAAACAACTGCCATTGGCCAAAGTGCTTTCCAGCATCATTACGTACAGCCACACAAACATTACAAGGGCTAGATTGTCTGCACTCATCTCTCAGTCAATTCATGCTCCTGAAACACCATACAAACACACGCCTGTGTGTTTATGTCCAGACAGGTTTGTGTCACCTCACTAGAGTTTACCCACTAGTGCCTAAAGAGAGTGACTACAGCTATGTGTGTGCATATGGGGGTGAAGCTAAAATAGACAAAAGGTAAAACAAGGTTAATCGCATATGAAAACCCATTAAGAATTTTCCTTTCCTTGTATACACTATTTGAACTACATTTCTGTCATGACAACTCTCGGAAGGGTTTAGCATGGTAATGTACATGACAATGTTAATGTATTTGGTCTTGGCGGAATAGATTTGCTACGCTGCTGCTGCTGTAGAGCAAGTACCGAGACTTGCTACTGCCAATACATCCACAACATGCTGCTGTGAGCATGTAAGAAATACTGCTGCTGCGCATACAACGCATATGACCCCCATATAGCGTACATGAATTACTTCGTAGCAGATCTATATACAGGTGGAGCTGGGGAAGGGGGAGGGTTTCTGAAGCAAGCTGCACTGCTACGGCAAGCTTTAGTCATATATTTGAATGTTGAGCAGCGAGCTCATTGGCTACAAATACAGGAGAGAACCAATCAGCTGTGCCATGTGATAATGATGTCATTACGTTAGATTGAGTTAGACCTATCGGACTGCGCCATCTAGAGTTTCATGCCAGAACTCTGTATTGAGGTCAGATCTTAAAAAATTACAACTACTGCATATAAAATGTCATAAAACATTGTACATTTTGGAGGGAAATCAGCAGATTTGTATTTGTTTGTTTATTTATTTTGGGTTGTGATCACACAGTTTCCAGTAAATGTGGATCAGTCTTGTGGATCACTCTTTTGGCCGTTCCTCCTTACTCCTTCACTAGCAGAATTTTCTCAGATAACAAAGCATTCATAGTTTCATCAATGATGGCAGTCTGTCCTGGTCCAGAGGCAGGAAAGCAAATAATTAAACAAACCAAATAATTATACCGCCATCCCTGTGCTTTACAGTTGGGATGCGGTTGCTGTTATTGAATGTGGCGTGTTGGTTTTGCCAAATGTAATTTTTCTTAACCAAACTGTTTTACTTTGGGCTCATCCACTAACAAATCAATACTTCCAGTAGTTTTCTGGCTTATCCTTGTGGTATTTGGCAATTTTTAGACAGGCAATACTATTCTTCTTGGAGGAAAGTTCCTCCTTGCTGGAGTATCCTGCTGTGCACATCATTCATGTTCAGTGTTTGTCTGAATCCAATGCAAGAGACGCCTGTAGATCCTTGTTACCCTGAAGTTCTTTGTGATCTTCTGGAATATTATAACATTACCTTTTCAACATAATTACGTATTACGTGGAGTCATGGACGCTTCGCAGAGCAGTGCAAGGCACGCATTTTTGTTTATAAAGCATATACTTTTTTTTTTTTGAAAATGACAGATCGTTTCGCTAGATAAGACCCTTATTCCTCGTCTGATATCATGTAGAGCCCTTTGAAGCTGCACTGAAACGGTAATTTTGACCTTCAACCGTTTGGTAGCCGTTGAAGTCCACTATAAGGAGAATAATCCTGGAATGTTTCAATCAAAAACCTTAATTTCTTTTCGAATGAAGAAAGAAAGACGTAAACATCTTGGATGACCTGGGGGTGAGTAAATGATAAGGAAATTTTTATTTGAAAGTGAACTAATCCTTTAAAGTATAATTTTTGCTGTTTGGCCAATGGTTTATTTCCATGGAAATTTGAACTTTGAAGTTCAACTAGTATCTGTTTCAGTAAATATTTTCCACAGAAAGACTGATATTATTAATACTAGTAATATTTATATACAGTATAGCATATAGCAATTATATATAGCGATTTATAACCAAGCAATGTTTGTCGTCATTACCTCTGCAGTGCGCCCCCTCGTCTCCTCCATCAGTGCAGTCGGGGACGCCGTTACACAGCTTGCTCATGTGAACACACAAGTCTGATCCCAGACACTGATGTTCATTAGGAGGACACCGCGACACACGGTTATGAGGACCTGAGAGAGAGAGCAGATAACAAAAGCATAAAGATGATGATACTACAAAAGCATCCTACTTTAGATTGCATCAAAACTCGAGGTGATATGCTGAAATGGCTCAATAGCATTATGTGCCACATGTTCACCCTGGAACAAGAATTCATATGTTTAAAGTGTAGGGTAGATATTTTGAAGGAATACTACAATTTACTGGTATCTGTTATTTTAGAAACTGTTTCCTGTAACAATCTGAAAAATACTTATTTTTTAACCTCATATAACAGCTGCATCATTTTCTTTCTTGCTTTCAAACACGGTTGGTTAAATATCCCAGTTTATGGTTTTATTATGACTGTGTCCATAAGTGTGCGGTCAAGTGTTTGTCTCTGAGTCACTGGATGAGCTGTATTTGTGCGTCTGGGCTCTCGTCCGCTCTGGAGTGGACAGAACGCTGGGCGTGGAGTGAAAACGGACCAAAAGTCCCCAAATTATTGACCAGAAATGAGCGAACGTGTTATTGCAGAAAGATGATGCAACACAGCAGAGTTTTAAAACAATAAATGTTCCATGAATGTCTAGTTTACAGATGAGATCATGAATACAGTGCCAGTACAAACACATATCAGCAGTGCTGTATTTAGTACGCTATGACACAGGTTTTTAAGAAGCGTGTGGGAGAGGATGTGTACGGTCTTCTGTCAAAATACATTCTCATATCCCCGTTTCAATCTACTACATTGACATCTTGAATTGAGTCTTTGGCAATTTCAGAATATTTCTATTCTTATATTTTCATATTTTACATCTTTCACACAAACAGCAAATTCTAGCAATTTCAGAGCATAACTAGAGAAAAAAATAAATAGTATTCCATGGTGTTTCCATAACTTTTAAAGGATTCTGTTCATTTCCATGATTTCTCAGGCAAGGAAAGCACAAATGTGTCATGCCTACATACAAAAAAGTCAATTTTAGGTTTAATTATTTTCCCTTTATAGTTTATAAACAGTAAATGTGCTTTGTACAATTTGTAAAATTATTCTTCTTCATAATGTAAGTATAATTAAAACAATAATAATTCATAGCAAATAAAAGGGAAAAGTTCTTTATCTAAACGTGTCATTTGCCAAATTTGTTTTTTCAAAAAAGCCACTGAAAATATATCTTGCAGAGAAACGCATCTTCAGTGCCTCCTTCTTTATAATTTAGTTCATACATGTAACACAGAATACATTTGTGCCAGACATGTTTGTTTGTCACTTTACACACTCTCTGCTTTACTGTAATTTTAGATGTTTATGGAAAAAAGCTCACAAAAAAGCCATGTCTTTAGAGCAAGAAGCTTTGAATGATATTACAAAATAGTTTGAAACCTTAAAACCTGCAGCTGTTCTGGGACATTTGAAAGCCTAGCTTTGGCACTGTTGCTCTCCCAGTGGTCCTGTAAGCGTGAGGGATTGTGGACACCTTGCACAGGAGTGTGCTGAGACCATAAGCCTCTTGTAATATTATGATCACATGTGGCGTTCCAGAGGATCCGGAGGTGGAAACTCTCGTCGAAGGGTCAGAAAACCTCAGCCACATAGAAAACTCTGGAATAAGACCCAGCACATGGGGAACATGACCTGGGGCCCCTGTGACAAGACCACATGCCAGTCAGACAAATGAGGCAAAGAGTGAGATTTTGAAATATAAAGACAGAATATGGAGCGCACTAGTGCAGTTTTCACATGCTGAAAGCTAGTTTATTTCTCTAATTTATAGGTAACAGATGCTCAAGTAAAACTCTTTTACTTACTTAAACAATTTAGGGCAAGGGTCAAATATTGAGTGAAGGCAGATTTAACTGAAAGGCTGAACTGTGTTCTAATACCAGAGGTATTTGTATTAAATATCAGGCTGTCACATGTGTTTTGTAATTTTGTATCCACCTTATTCCTGACGAGCCTACTGCGTTTTTAATTATGGGTGGCACTTCCGGTTTGGGGAACTAACATACAGAATGAATCATTTCTATATTCTATATTCAATAATTCACTGGAACGCACAAAGAATCTCTTGTTTTTCTCCTCAAATCCTCACGTCTCCTTCCAGGCTTGTTTGTTTTCATAAGAAAATACAAGTTATTATCTGTCAAAATGACAGAAATCACTTTGGAATAGCATATGTGACCCTGGACCACAAAATCAGTCTGAATAAATAAGATTTCCATGTATGTATGGTTTGTTTGGATAGGACAATATTCGGCCGAGATACAACTATTTGAAAATCTGGAATCTGAGGGTGCAAAAAAAATCAAAATATTGAGAAAATCGACTTTAAAGTTGTCCAAATGAAGTTCTTAGCAATGCACATTACTAGGCTACAATGTAGACTAGTTTCTATTCTGCAGTCTGTGGTTTACCCAAACCCACCACCGGTCAGCCATATAATAAATCTTTGACTGTCATCTGGCTGGAAAACAAACCATACTGCAGCCAGACATACAATACACCGGCTGTGTTCAGAATGGAATACCAGCTTACTACTTCCTGAATACTGGCCCATATGTACTGTACTGTATACTGTCTACTATCTTTTCAAAATATTAAGTACAAATGTATGCTTTACTCCCTCAGCATTTTAATTCAGTGAGTGGCATCCCGTTTTATCACACTGAAAAAAAGTAGATTTTTCATTGTTGTCATATCTCAACATTTCAGTCCAAATAATGGATCAAAAAACATAAAAATTACAATTTCACAAGGTCAACCCCATTTTAAACACTGTGTTGAGCACAATGCTCTGAGGGATACAGTATTACAGTAAGCAATGGCTTGTCTAGTGCCAGCGCTGTAATTAGCTTATCTTCAATCAGCTACATATGAACTGAAGTGTGTTGAGTCACTGCCCTCATGCTATACGCTGTAAATAAACATACGTTCTGATAAAACTCTCAAAGAGGCACAAAATCACTTTCACAGACTTTTTCATTAACTGTTCCCTCCTGGTGAAATGACCTGCCCAAATCAACCCGAGTTGTTTGGCAGATACAGTTTGCATAATGCTATGATGTTTCTCAGGGTAGCAGGCAGGGATCTGGTGAAAAATTCATTGTTCAAACGTATAAAGTACAAAATGTGTGCAAAAGCCATGTAGATATAGCTCGGGTCTCTGCAAGTGGAATATTTTCGTCTGCCAGGTGAAAACTGCATGTCTGTGACACAATAGCACTTCTTCTCAACAAGTCTCGTGTTTTAGGTTGTGAGATGGTGCAGGAAGAGTTACTATGCATCAACGTTCAATACTTATGGTTATATTTAACCTTGAGCAATAGTGAAAATAATCTACTATTTAGCTAAATGTATATTTTTCTGCATATATCCCAACATCTGACCTCCAAGACTCATATCAGGGAAATCTACATCTCAAATTGTCCATGTCAGGCAACTCTTGCATATAATAGCACGTTAATGGGTCGTTTCAGGTCACCGGTGCATTCATGCATGAATAAGATCAATGCATGTCTTACTACTCTCCTTAATTGTTCATTGCCTACAAAGCAGCCCAAACATAACATGAGAACGTTTCCACACAAGAGACGGATCATCAGCAGTGATCACAGCTTCTTTTGCCAAATAAAATGTTCTACACAGACATGAAACATTCCCTAACTGATGTCAGAAGGGCACATTTGTTTTAGATTCCATAAGCAATCACAAACACAGTTACAGTTCGTGTCATATAGAACACAATTATGGCCCACACAACAGAGGCGTTGCCCATTGCGTGTGTTCTGGACAGACCAAGCAAAAGACCTTACCACAGTAACTATTATTAACATGTGTTTCTTTGGGAATTGTTTCTCCTCAGTCCCTCCCTAGGTGTCCATGGTTTCCAGCTGAGATAAATGATCCATAACAAGAATCCATTTCACATCATGAATGAGAACCGCACGTGACCTCTCGAATCCTCACAACATCACGCAAACCAGCCACATGCCATCATGGCTGAATGTTTGAAGGCCAATCCAAGAGTGTGAACTGGCAGGCTTCTTCTGAAATTCTTCTTGCCCCTGGATCAATATGAAGATCATTCGGTGAAGGGGTCAGTTTGATGTGTGTGTGTGTGTGTGTGTGTGTGTGTGTGTGTGTGTGTGTACTTGTTTATGCTACACTGTGGGGACCAAATGTCCACAAAAGGATAGCAAAACCTGAAATTTTTGGCCTGCGGTCCCCACGAGAGGGAACAAAATGATTAAAAATAGTAAATGATCTTTATCTGAAAGAGTAAGAATGCAAACAGATTTTCTGTAAGGGGTAGGTTTAGGGTTAGGGGATAGAAAATTGTTTGGTCAGTATAAAAGTAATAGAGGTCTACGGAAAGTCGCCACAATTCACAGAAACAAACGTGTGTGTGTGTGTGTGTGCATGTTCATAGTTTTAAAATTGAGGAAAATATGTAGTAAAAATGTACTATGAACAACTAAACAAAGAATGAAAACATGGGACACATGTAGCCACTGAAGAGATTTAATGTGATACCTCAGTCGAGTATGAGATAGTGTTCATGCAGCTGCGTTAAACTCTTTGATAAGCCAGTCAAAACACTTCTGCGGTAGTTAATTCTTGCATAAAATGTGTGAATGAGTTTCTCACTTTCAGTAGGGGAGAGAATTTTGCATACTTCAGAGATGATAATATGCTGTTTTATAAACAGTGCTAAGGGTTTCTTGAATCTGAAGTAGGGTTGGGTATCGTTTGAATTTTATCAATTGCGATTCTGCTTATCGATTCTGATTTTTTCCATTCCCAGTTTTGATTCCAATGTGATTAAATAATGATATCAAACATTTATCCTGTCTCTTTTTTGCAAACCATTTATTGGAGCTGAATACCATGAACAAAAATCAACAGGCTACATAAAAACTGGGCTTTTTAAGAGCTGTTTGTGTGCAAAATAGAACTGCATTATTCCGGATAAATTTATTTTTTTTCCTTTTTTTCCCCCAATGGAAGATGTGGTTCTCTCATGATTCT